AGTTAGCGGGGACGAGTTGTCCTAGATCCGCAATGACAGCAACTTACTTTTAAAATGAGTTTTATTGGTATCTTAGTATAGACAGCCCTGCCAGGAAGCTTTGGTCTTATTTACAGTTTATTTCACTCCTTTCCAAGTGTACGGTTTTCGACGTGTCGTGTGGCGGAAAACAAGACTGTCTTTCCGTCGTCAGTTCCTTGTGGATTGCTTTTGCACGAAATTGAGCGTGAAATGCACCAATTCATGCCCGACAACGCAAATTTTCGCGTGCGTGGACAACGATCAAATTTGTGCATTTCAAAACCGGATAAACGCTCAATTTCGAGCAAAGCTAAACTACAAAAAAATATCGCAGGGTAATTTACTATTAAAACACATTTACGTTTGCCGCCACACGATTGGAAAACGGTAAAATTGAACCCAGTTCTGACTGACAACAACGGCAAAACACAACAACTACCGACGACAACAAAAACGAACAACAACAACGACGACGTCAACAAAACAACAACAAGAACCGACGCGGTGCCTCGCGGTGGACACACACTGATTGTGATGTTCGGCCGAGGGACGGCGAGGGCGTGGCGCCCCGGAAACGCGCGCTGCGGGGTGGCCGTGGACGGGGCGGTGGCGCCCTGCCCGGTACACTGCCGCGACCCCGGCGCCCCACCGCACACTTAGGGCGGGCCGGCGTCGTCCGACGTTCCGGAGATAAATATACGCCACGCGGATGAAGGCGGCAATCGGTGGGATTAGCCCGCTCCCCCGCGGGGCTCTTGTTCTTGTTTCGGTGTGTTTGTTGTTGTTTGATGCGTGGTTGTTGCTCTTGCTGTTGTTTGGCGTGGCGACGCGCCACGGCCGCAGTGGATCAGATTTATATGCGGTTCGCGGCCTTCGGGGCCTTCGGCATGCGGGGCACATCGACAGGCACTACGCGAGGAGCCCGGATATTAGAATGGGGCGCTGCCCTGGCGCTGCCGTGCAGAGTGTGAATCAATCCGCTGCATCGCTGTCGTCTCTCTCACTCTGTCGCACGGGGCGCCCCACGCGCGGGTGCGAGAGAGACAGAGCGAGCTGTGAGAGGACGGCCCGAGGGGCCCCGACCATGCCCCGACGCGGTCCCACGGCTGTGCAAACAGTCCACTGGTTGTCGCTGTCGGCGGGCAATCGCCGAGCTACAAGCTCGCAAACCTTTTTTCTTTTTTCGGAAAAGCGTCTCGCGTCGGTGGCAGGCCGTGGCAGGCCGGCGACAAGCTCGGCTTGACAAGGCCGAGGCCAGGCTCTTGCCAGGCTGGTCCAAGAAGGCCGTAAAGCACTCGAATGGGAGGACCGGTGCTGTTCCGCCCCATCAGGCCCCATGCGTGCACCTTCCTTCCCAGGAAACCCAATCCTCCTCCGCCCCGCCCCGCCCCGCTCCGCCGTGCGCTGGACGAAGCAGAACGCCCCTGGGTCACGCCCCGCCACCCCGGGGGCCGACCGGGCCGGCCGGGCCTGCGAGGGTGGCCGCCCCTTCGACGAAGTGACGCGATTCTTGACCCAAATCCCTGTTGGTGCAGGTCGCGGAGGGGTCGCCGTGGCAGTGTCGTGGCGGAGAGCCCTGCAGTGCCCTGGCACCCTGGTGCGGCACCTGCGACTCGGCCGCCGGTGATGGAGCACCGGAGTCCTTTACAGGTGGAGGACCCAAAGGCCCCAAGCCGGAGTAAAAGCCGGCGGACGTGCGCGCCGCGCCTCGCCGCGGCTTTGCCCCGCGGCCTGGGGGCGGCGGGGGGCGGCGGGGGGCGGCGGGGGGCGGCGGGGGGCGGCGGGGGCGGCGGGGGCGGACCACCAATCCCAGTGCGTGCCCGCGCCGCCGCTCCTCCTCCACGCCACCCTGGCCGTCGTCTTGGCGGGGCGCTGGAATGCCAGAGCACCGCGCCGCGGGGGTCGGACCAAATTCCGAGAGTCTGTCCCTCTCGCACTCATGGCGCGTCCGCTTAGACAGAGCGACGAAAACGACTCTCAGTCTGCAGTCGACCGGTGAAAACGGGCACTGCACTGTACCGGCGCACTGGCCAATGGGAATGGCACGTTCGTTCGATTAGCGCAGTCTTTCTCCGACTTGAAAAATAGCAGTTTTGTGTCGTCTTTTCTGCTCAAGCCTCGAAAAAAGGCGACGCGATGAAAGAACTCGGGGAACTGCGGGGCCTTGGGGCGGCTGGGCAAGGCCTCGGACTGTCTCCAGCTTCCAGCGCTTCCATAGCAGTGTACCTAGAACAAACCGACGGACGTGACCGTCCATAAGTGAGTCCGGCGGTCCGGCAGTCCAACCCTTATTTGGCCACGGCAGTGGCGCGCCAGTGCTTGTGTGTCTTGAGTTCCTTTCCAATTATCTACCATCTCCACTCGCGTAAACGCGGACGGATTTTCACAGACTTTGCATGAGTGTTTCATTAGCGTTTGCCTCACGCGGTGTTCCATCACACCATGTCGCGCAAGAACGCAAAAACAAAAGAAGGAACAATTTTTAAAAACTGGTGCTTGAGACTCTCAGTCTTGATAGGACTTGTTGACAACGCTTCGTCTTGATTTTATTTTTATTTTGTCCTTTCAAACATTTTTCTGAGTGTAGTATCGGGCCTCAACCGAAGAGACCACTGTTGTGAATTGTAAAATCAAAACAAAACAGCAACAACAAAATGTTTGTAAGAAAAGTAAATCACAGTTCAAAATTTGTTTGCCTCAAAGCGATTGTTGAAATATTGGTTGTTCGACACTGTAAAGACCCCGCGCCAGAGGGGCCGGAATGGCCGGGGCTTCGCGGGGCTTCGCGGGGCTTCGCGGAGCTGCCCACCTGTCCCCAGCGTTTGAATCTCCGCGTGGCGGGGCGCCGCGGGGGCGTCGGCTCGGATGCGGGCGGTTGGAGGGTGGAGGGCGAGGGAGGGTGAGGGAGAGAGAGGGAAGATGCTCGCAAATCCTCGGCCGTCTTTGTCTCGTCACGTGCTCCACGGCGATGACTCCTGTGTGTAGCACCAGCGCATTTACTCTTACCTGCAGTGCAGGTGCAGTCCCCGACCTGAAACCTGGTTGATGGACCTGCGCACTGATTCCGAGAGTCGCCGTCTCTCTCGCACTCGTGGCGCGTCCTGCAGAGGTGCGAGAGAGACAGAGCGACGAAACGGGCTCTCGGAATCGGTCTCCGGGAAGGGCAAGGAACGCGGCAGCAGTGTCCTCGCGCGGGCGCTGCATCGCCAGCAACATCGGCGATACTTGTGCGCGTGGGAGCGACGCGGCAGACTGATTCCGAGCTCTACTTTCGTCGTTGTTCTGTCTGTCCCTCTCGCACCATGAGTGCGAGAGAGACAGAGTGACAAGCGGCCGAAAGCCGAGCGGGCCGTCGTCGTCCTGGTATTGTCTCAACCGGAAAGCTTCCCCGAACTGCTCCGAAGCCCGGCTCGTTTTGGCAGTGTGGTGTAGTGCGTCTAGTTTTGCTGTCCTCTGTCCTTGTCTGTCGCGCGCCTCTCCGTATACCTGGCCGTGCGTGGGAGAGGGACGGAGCGATGCGGCGCGGGCACCAGACAGCGTGGAGCCGGCCGGGGCTGGGCCGGGGCTAGGCAGGCAGTCTGACCTTCTTGCCCACTCCTCCCTCCCCCTCCCCTCCCCTCCCCTTCCCCTGGGGCCCCACCGGGTGCTGTGAGCAGCTAATGCAGGCAGGTATAGGGTGAGACAGAAATCATAAACTTATCTCGCCCACCGGGCGGCGCAGTCTTTGGCAGTCTTCGCACGCTTTTGCCTTTCGGCGGACCGGCCAGAAATTCCTCACCTTTTTTTTTTTTGAGGCTGGCGAGTTTATAACCGGATTCGGATAACGGGGATAACGAAATCTCATGACAGCTCTACAGCACCCGGGCGGACTCCTGTGCGATCCTCCCGATTCTCTCACCATCGAAATGGAGGAAAGTCCTTTGCGGCCTCTCAGTGCCAGTGCAATTTTATCGATTTGTGTTGAATGTCTTCGCTGGTTTTCCGAAATGGGCAAAAACCAAATTCCGAATTTATTCCGTGCGCTTAGCGCTGCTCTGCTCACGCCACGGGAACCCCCGAACCCCAACAGTTGACTGGTCAAATCATCCCAGTCGGTCAGTTCGGAGCTGTCGAGTCGAAACTTGTTTCCCTTGCCTGCAGCCCCTCATAAAAACACGCGCCGTTTGCCTGGCTACTCCACTAACTCCACCCCCACCCTGCGCGCCGCCCGCCCGCCCCGCCCCCGCCCCCGCCCCGCCCCGCCCCCGCCCCGCCCCGCCCCGCCCCGCCCCGCCGCCCCGTCCCGCCCCACCCCCGCCCGGAAGGACGCTAGGCCGGGCGCTGCATGCGAAGCAGCAGCCCTCTCCACCACCACTCCGCCGCTCGGGTGCCACTTCAGTTTGGAGTTGGTCCTCCTTTGAGGCAGGTCGTTGCAGAGTGCAGTGCAGTTCGTGTCATGCACGCCTTGTCTCGTCACGCGCTCGTCCAGTGTGGTGGTGCCGCGTGACCAGTGCAGTGCAGCGAGTGCAGTCCTCCCCGGTCGATTCTAGCGCCACGTCATCATGTTCTACTTCGGCTTCCCGTTTTTCCCCAAGTACGAGGGGCTCACGCCGTTGGCCTTGCAGCTGACGAGCAGGTGAGCGTCGACGAGTTGTTGACCACGCACAGTGGGTTTGGCAGAAGACAAGTGGAGGCGGTCAAAGGCCCGAACGCGTTTTGAGCTCCAGAGTCGCTAATTAGGACTCAAACTGAACGTGTGACCCCACCAAAGGATTGCTCTCCGAACGAGGAATCCATTGGTGGGGTCACACGGTCAGCTCGAGTCCTGTCTAGCGACTTTACGGCGTCTAGAGTTTTGGCCGTCGGCGCCGGTCTGTGCCACGCGGCGTGCGGCGGGGAAATACAGTGAGGGGAAACGTGACACGACGCAGTGACACGAAACATTCGCGGTGTGCTTGCCGTTTACTCATGTTGCGTTTTGTGTCCGTCTGCTGCTTCAGGCTGCTGGACATGAAGGTGCCCCAGGGCCGCAGCGGGTTCCACATCAGCGACATCCTGGACCTGAACGACGCCAAGGTGGCTGAGGGCGACCACGCCTCGCAGCACCCCCTCGCCAATGGTCAGTATTTATTCGGTGAGAAAAAAATTGAACTTGTCTTCGGAGCCGCGCCGTTCCGGCGAGCCTTTTGCCCGCGCCCAACTCGGCAACTGGTGGTGACTTGACAACGTTGTTGCAGGCTTGCCTCTGCTGATGGGCAACACCCCCCAGGACCTGGTGGCGGGTCTGTACGGCCACCACGCACTGCTGGGCCACCCCCTGCCGGCGGACCCCCTCGGCGGCGCGCTGCCCGGCCACCTCGGCCCCCTCGGCCCGCTCACGGCGCTGCACGGCGCGGCGCCCCCGAGGCCGTCGCCCTGGAGCCACGACAACCGGGACCAGCCCTCGCCCGCGTCCGATGCAGGTGAGTGTCGTCGTGTTGTCCCACGCCGTCGGCGAGCCGTCGGCGAGCCGTCGGCGAGCACGTGTATGACGGCCACCCCTTGCCGCCCGGGCCGGCCGGCCCGTGAAATGGCTTTCGGATGCCAAATCCTATAAATTGCGAAGCAACGCGGCAAATCGGCGAGGGTGGCTGCGTGAGGCTGCGCCGCCACTTGGCTCCCCGTTGCCCTGATCGCCGGGGCGTGGCGGCGTGGCGGCGCGGCGGCGCGGGCCGGCCGCTGCCCACCCACGGGTCTCTCAAGTCAAGAGCGACCGACCCGCCCGCCCGCCCGCCCGAGGGCCGCGCCGTGCGCCGCGGTCCGCTTTAACCTATCCAGATTAGCTCCAGTGACACTGAAGCTGGTCAACCAATGCATGTTTAGAAAGAAGAAAGTCTAAGGAAGACATTTGTATAAATATTTCTACATTGGAACCCTATTTAATCTAAAAGAATGCTTTAAAAGCTCGACTTGCCGGGTGGTGAGCCAGTGGACTGTTTTCAAACCGATATTTCGTTGGTTTAGAAGCTCCGTAGACCCCAACATAAAGCGAGCCGATTTTTCGCTAGACTCTAACGTTTTCAACCATGTCTTTAGATTTCTTGAACTCTGTTCAGTTCTCAAAAACTATGCGTTTTCGTGAAAGTCCGTGCAAGTAGCTCTGTGCTAACTAATTTCTCATACCTACTGGGATCGGAATCACGGACTCGACGTTCGGGCATAAAATCGTTTGGATCTATTAATCTAGATATGTTCTGATAATTCTGAAGTAATGTATCGAAAGCTTAGAGTCTAGCGAAAAATCGGCTCGCTTTATGTTGGGGTCTACGGAGCTTCTAAACCAACGAAATATCGGTTTGAAAACAGTCCACTGGCTCACCACCCGGCAAGTCGAGCTTTTAAAGCATTCTTTTAGATTAAATAGGGTTCCAATGTAGAAATATTTATACACATGTCTTCCTTAGACTTTCTTCTTTCTAAACATGCATTGGTTGACCAGCTTCAGTGTCACTGGAGCTAATCTGGATAGGTTAAAGCGGACCGCGGCGCACGGCGCGGCCCTCGGGCGGGTGGGCGGGCGGGTCGGTCGCTCTTGACTTGAGAGACCCCACCCTCGGCGTCGTCGCCGCGTCGCCGCGGACCGCCCTTCCCTCCCCCTCCCCTCCCCCGAGTTAAGCCTGTCGGACAGCAAATATCCCGTCCGCGCTGGCTGCTGGCTGTCGCTGGCTCTACTCCATCACCCCGCCGGGCCGGGCCCCGAAATCCCCGATATATGAGACGCGGCGTAAAACTGCGAAACAAATGATTCTGCTGGGATGTAATGAAGCGATAAAGGCTCCGGCGGGACTGGCGCACTGGCGGACTGGCGGCGCTGCGGTCGTTAGCGCCCTCCCCTCCCTCGACGGCGTCCTCGGCGTCCTCCCCCGCCGCGCGCGCCCGCCGCCGCCCTCCCCCGGGGCTTAGCCGGGATTCAATTAACGTCTCAATCGACTGCGTTAAACATACACTGATACTTTGGGCCGCAACATGCCCTCTCGGAATCGAATTAGGCGGCCGCGCGCGGCGGGGGGAGCACTCCGTCGACGTAGGCACGTCCCCGTCGACGCCGCGACGGGCTCTTTTTATGTCGTTGTCGTTTTTCCGCTGCAGACTGATTCCGAGAGTCGTTTTCGTCGCTCTGTCTCTCTCGCACGCATCAGGAGACGACTGTGTTTGCCGCCGCGTAGGTAAACTCGAGTGCCTCTCGCCGTGAGAGGACCGGGCCTCTGTGTGGCCGTGCTGCGCCGTGCTGCGCCGCTGGGCCCAACGGCAGCCACGCCTGAACAAACGCAGCCAGCGTTAAAACTCCCCTCTCTTTGCTCTGCGCTGGCTGGGCGGCGCTGGGCTGGGCCCTCGCGTTTGCTCTACGCTTACGGCCATTGTCTTGAGCCCCCGTGCGTATATGTAGGTACACTGTAGGTACACTGTAAGTACTACATTGTAGGTACTCGGTACACCCCGGGATGCTTGACTGGAAAATCAGAAAATGAGCGACGAAAACGCCTCCAGCCCGTCCCTGTCCTCGTCGTCGCCGTCCTCGACTTCCGACCCCCTCGCGCTTGGAATTAAATTCCGGATGGGGTCGACTCGCATCGCCACCTTGCGGCCCTCTGGCGGCCCTCGGGTCCTACACTGGAGTCCGAGAGGACCGAGAGGTCACTCTGTCCCTCTCGCACCCCTCCATGCCGCCTCCTTGAGAGCGAGAGAGGCAGAGCGACGAACGAGGCTCCGGAATGAGGCGGTTCTACTACACCGGAAGCCGGGACAAAGCGCCCGGCTCACCTCCAGCTTCCTCGCTGTTGGCGTTGGCTGCGTTGGCTCGGGGCCGGCACCCCGGTGTGGCTATGGGCGGTGAAGATGCGTCCGATCTGTCTCTCTCTCGCTCTCGCCTACTCTGCCTCTCTCTCTCTCTTTTTCTGTGAGGATGTCAGCGCAGTCAACAAGAGGACATCCGAGTCACAGAAAGAGGAGGAAGCGGCGGCATAGCTCAGCGCAGCGCGATCCGGGGTCCTGCGTCCTGCGTCCTGGGTCCGGGGCCGGGGGAGGGAAAAGTAATCGTTGTCGCCCGATGCGACAAACCGTCCTGTTCCGTCTCAGGGACCGTTAAATCCTCATGACCAATTTATGGGGTGGTATGAGGCGGGTAGGTTCGAGGCTCTCCACGGCGGCCTATATCGTGTGGCCGACGCGTCGCTTACGCGCGACCCCCTACTCGTATCGTCACCTTCGCCCCCTGCGCCTTCCCTCGGCGTGTGTGGATGTGAATTTGGAGCTGGGAGTGTTGGGAGGGGAGGAGGCCGGCTGGAAAACACACATTACAAGCCCCGAACACACACTCGCGTCGCCGCGGAGCCGCGGAGCGGTGTGGCGGTGTCGCTGTGTCGCGTCGCCCCGCGTCAAATAAAAGATGACAGTTGACATTCGCCTCACTCCTCCATCGCTCACCCCGAATTTTTTCTCGTCATCAAGCAACTTGACTACTGGCATGGCGGCTCGCCTGGCTCGCCCGTCCGTCTGGTCGCGGCCGAGGCCAAGCGCGTCGTCAGGCTGCAGATTGCGAGAGAGTCGCGTTCGTCGCGCTGCCTCTCTCGCACTCGTGGGGCGTCCTGTGTGAGTGCGAGAGAGACAGGGCGCGACTCTCGGAATGAGTGTGCTGGTGGCGTGTTGGAGCTAACGACGCTCCTTCCCGCCGGTCGAGTCCCTTTCTCGTGCCTCCCACTCGTGCCAATCGATGCCCTGTGGGTACAATGCGAACGGCGTGCCGCGGCGTGCGAAGCGTGCGAAGCGTGCGCCGTGGTAAGAGCATTTAGAGTGCTGGTGCGGGCGGGGCCTCGCCAGGCCTAGCACGCCAGCCGAGCCATTCCATTCGTCGCTCTGCCTCCGTCGCACCCTTGCGGGACGCCCCGCGAGAACGACAGAGACAGCGCGCAAAACAGTTCGTCGGAAAGCCAGCGATCGCCAGCACGCGTGCCGGTCCGTGGCAGACTGATTCCGAGGCATACGGGACGCCCCCTGAGTGTGAGGAAGACAGAGCGACGAAAACGACTCTCGGAATCAGTCTACAGGTGTCCGTCGAACGCTGAGGCGCGCTGAGGCGGCAGCTGCACGACGGCCAAGACGACGGCCATCTTGGCGGGGACGCGGGGCGCGGCGTTTGCCCACCATTGTGGTCGGCCCGGGGCGTGGCGGCGAGGCGAGCTTTCTTCTATCCGACAAAGATGAGCCTCGGATGGGCCGAATGCCCAATGCGTTTATAAACACGACTCGGTCCACGCGACGGCCATCGGCCATTGTCCGCCGAGACGGCCTCGACGGCCACGACGGCCGCCGCACGGAGGCGCGGAGGGCGCGCGCCTCGCCGAGAAGAAGGGCCCCTTTGTGGTGGACGCGGTGCTGTGCGAGCTGTCAAATCGTGACACAAGGTTCCGGGCCGCCGCCGCCGTCGTCACCGGACCAGATTTCATTCTAAACAACCGCAAACTTTGGCGGCGGAAAGTTTGGCCTCGCCTCGGCGGCGCGCTGCGGTCGTCTGCCTGACGGCGTCCCGTGGCTTTCATCACGCTAACGCGAAGCGACGCCAAGCGACGCCAAGCAATGCCAAGCGTTGAGAAACGTCACACAAATGGGATTCGGGCGGGACGGACTAGTTTTGAATCGGACTGCGGGGGCAGCGTCGCGCAGTGTGTGTCCGTTTGTTTGTGTGTGTGTGGTCTGTCTGCGTTCGGTCAAAACAACCCCATCGATGTTTGCCCTCCGCGCCCTCATTGGCCGAGACAGCGAAGCCAGCGAGGCCTGTCCAGGGCCTGTCAGGCTGGAGGGGTGCCCGCCGTGCAGTGTGCAGTGCAGTGCCGGGCCGCGATGTGCTGTCGAAGCCAGACACATGTTGTGACGGGGATACGCGGGATCGACAGCCTCGCGGCAGAACGTCATGCAATGCACGATCTCGTCGCTCTGTCTCTCTCGCACCCATACGGGGCGCCCCATGAGTGCGAGAGAGACAGAGCGACCGTGCAGGCCATCCGGGCCGCCCCACAGTCACGGAAACTCCGTAACGTCTGTCTCGGTTTGCTTCAGCGCTGCTTTTTCGCTTTTTGAGCAGGTTTATTTAAGAAAAGCAGGACCTTACAACGACCCCCTTGGATTTCGCTGATTTTTTGGTGGTTAGTAGTCCCCCATGGTGGAAGTTCATGGCCAAAATTTCAGACCTCAAAAAAATTCTCTCTGGGAGATATGGGGATTTTAAGTTTTTTTGGGTATTTTTATACTAATTTTGGGTATTTCTTATATCTCAGGGACTTTTTGTCCAATTGGTTTCAGATTCGGGTTCTAGGTTCAAAATTGAACGAGGAACACGATCGTGCCGTCAGATTTGACCTAAAATAATTTTTTCATGGGGAAAACTCACTTTTTCTTGAAAAATTACATAAAAAGTCCCAAATCTTGGGATTTTGCAGTTTAAAGTACCCGATCTTTTTGAAACTGGTTTCATCTTACGCAGAAAGGTCCGCTGAATCCAAAAATCACAACCCCAAATTTTTCCGACGAACCGTTCCGGAGATATTCCACTTCAAAGTCAGGCAATTTTTTTTACGGCCTAAAAGTTGTGCGATTTTGCTGGGCTTTTCATTCTGAGGCATTGGGCGGTGAGTTCCAGTGGCGCTGGCCTTGTGCGCCGGCTGGTGTTACCTAACGTCCCCTTTTAGCGCCTGCCAGGTAGGCGAAGCCGTACCGCAACACATGCGTGTCCGACTGGTGGCCTATCTCGCCCCTGACGCAAGCCGCTACCGCCGCAAGCAAAGGCACTCCGCGCTCCGTTCGCTGGACCAGCTGCTTCCCCTTCCCTGACTCCACTGCCCCTGGTCCTTCCGGTCTTCTCTTCACCCCCTCCCCCTCCCTCTCCTATCATCAACCCCTGCCTGCATTCTGCCGGTGGCGTACCGTACCCCCTACTGTACCCCCTTTATTTACAATGTGTCGCACGCGTCGCTGTCTTCGCCTAGGACTTCGCGGACTCAGCAAACTCAAGTGTGTACATAGTACACCCTTATTAGAGCATGCTTCCAAGTACACTCTTATTTACAGCATACTTGCTCGGCACACGCTAAAGTAGAGTGCGTGGCAAGTACACGCTAAATAAGTGTGTACCTTCCGTGAACACGCTAAAATACACTCGATAAGTCCTATCTAAAAGTATGGGCCAGTTTAAGTGTACCTGCCAGGTACACTCTTAATTGATCCAGGAAGCGGAAGAAGGGAATGACTTGACTTATCCCCAAATTCAGTTTGTATTTTAATATTGTGCCTTAGAATGGTTTCCATCATTACACCAAATTATTTGACTGAATTCCAAGCAGTTTAGGAAAAAATCCACATGGAAAAAGGGTATAACTCAACTTAACCCCTTTTACGGTCTAAATTTCATTGGTACGCCACCGGCAGAATGCAGGCAGGGGTTGATGATAGGAGAGGGAGGGGGAGGGGGTGAAGAGAAGACCGGAAGGACCAGGGGCAGTGGAGTCAGGGAAGGGGAAGCAGCTGGTCCAGCGAACGGAGCGCGGAGTGCCTTTGCTTGCGGCGGTAGCGGCTTGCGTCAGGGGCGAGATAGGCCACCAGTCGGACACGCATGTGTTGCGGTACGGCTTCGCCTACCTGGCAGGCGCTAAAAGGGGACGTTAGGTAACACCAGCCGGCGCACAAGGCCAGCGCCACTGGAACTCACCGCCCAATGCCTCAGAATGAAAAGCCCAGCAAAATCGCACAACTTTTAGGCCGTAAAAAAAATTGCCTGACTTTGAAGTGGAATATCTCCGGAACGGTTCGTCGGAAAAATTTGGGGTTGTGATTTTTGGATTCAGCGGACCTTTCTGCGTAAGATGAAACCAGTTTCAAAAAGATCGGGTACTTTAAACTGCAAAATCCCAAGATTTGGGACTTTTTATGTAATTTTTCAAGAAAAAGTGAGTTTTCCCCATGAAAAAATTATTTTAGGTCAAATCTGACGGCACGATCGTGTTCCCCGTTCAATTTTGAAGCTAGAACCCGAATCTGAAACCAATTGGACAAAAAGTCCCTGAGATATAAGAAATACCCAAAATTAGTATAAAAATACCCAAAAAAACTTAAAATCCCCATATCTCCCAGAGAGAATTTTTTTGAGGTCTGAAATTTTGGCCATGAACTCCCACCATGGGGGACTACTAACCACCAAAAAATCAGCGAAATCCAAGGGGGTCGTTGTAAGGTCCTGCTTTTCTTAAATAAACCTGCTCTTTCCCGCCGCCGCTCCGCGGCACGCTATTATGCAGTCGTAAAATTCTCATGCCGGACGCGAAGCGCGACTTCTTTGTCTAGCGCGCTGGCGGCGTCCTCGGCGACCGCCTCGGTGACCGCGAGGCCGCGAGCAGATCAAAGTCGGGTTTGAAAGCGTATTATCTTTCGCGCTGCTGTCCGGCTGCCTGACTCGGCCTCACTTGCCCGACGCGAGCGGATTAATGGAACCGCGATGACGTCTTCATGAGGTGCATTTCAAGTAGCGGCGGCAAAAGCTCCCTTTTTTGCAGTGTACTTCGCGCAATTGCCCCCCACTCCCTTCTCCCCCAACGTACTTCGGCGCGCCAAGCTGCGCCAAGCCAAGCAGATGCGGCAGCTGGGCCGCGCGATTCGACGAGCGGGCAAGTCGGCCAATCAGACGCGAGGACACACTCTCACTCACACACTCACACACACGCTCGCACAATGGATACATTGCCAGGCGTGATAGACGCGACACTGCAGCCCAAATACCCACACAACAACCCGTCCCGCCGGAGGGGAGGTGTGGAGATTTCCCCCTCCCCTCCCCTCCCCCTCCCGCGAGGTGCAGATGCAGCCCAGCCCGCGGGGTCCGCCGCGCGCTGATAGGGGGGAGTGAGCGCGGCCTCGTGTTGACAAATCGCTTCTGATTTTGAGGTCGGGGAGGAGGGTCGGCGATATAACGTTTTAAATGAATCCTGGCGGCGGAGAGGGGAGGGGAGGGGGACGCGACAACAAGGGCCGTCGCCGTGCACCGGGACGACGACAACGGCGACGACGACGACGTCCTCGAGGTCCAATTTGGAGTCGTTGGCTGCGTCTCCGAGAGGGCCTTGCGGGAAAATAGGCCTCAAATTGGCCTCTCCGTCGTCCTTTCCTGCCCGTCCTGCAGACTGATTCCGAGAGTCGTTTTCGTCGCTGTCTCTCTCGCTCCCTTACGGAACGCCCTTTGAGTGCGAGAGAGACAGGGCGACGAGAACGACTCTCGGAATCAGTCTGCTGCTGCCTCGCTGTCCCTGCTCCCACGCCGAGTAGCTCGGAAAGAACTTTGGCCCGTTGATGGGTCTGCCCTCTAACCGCGGCAACGCTGTCTCGGCGTGCTCGGTGTGCTCGGCGAGCTTGCCCGCGACGCGGCACCGCGGCACCGGCCCGCCTCCCCTACGCGAGCGTGAAGCGCGTCAAGCGAGAAGGTGTCCATTACAGTGTAATGCAGCTTAGTGCCATTCAAGCTCGCCACCCCGCCATCATGCTCTGCCGCGAATCGACCCCGCCTCGCTGGAGAGGCAAACCCCGCCGACCGGCCTGCCGGCCTGGCTGACCGGGTTGTTGTTGTTGTGCTGGCGGCTTGCTGACCATGTTCTTCTTGTTGTTGCAGGCGGTATGCTGGCGCCGCAGGGACAGCAGCAGGTGTCCCCGGACAGCACGTCGCACCACAGCGCCAGCCTGGAGACGATGGGCACGGAGCTGTCCATGGACTCGACGGCGTCCTCGCTGGCGGCGCAGGCCGCCGACTCGACGCGCGTCAAGCACGGCTCACCGGCGCCCGGCCACACGCACCCCGGCGGTAGCGCCGCGGGGCCCGAGGCCGCGGACCACCGCGACGACGGCTCGGACCCGGAGCACGACGACGAAGACCTGGCGGACGACGACGACATGGAGGCGGGCGAGACGGCCTTCGGGGAGGGCGACGGCCACGGCGGCGAGCAGTCGGGCGGACCGGGGCAGCCCGGCGGCGTGCACAAGAAGCGCAAGCGGCGCGTGCTGTTCAGCAAGGCGCAGACCTACGAGCTGGAGCGCCGGTTTCGGCAGCAGCGGTACCTGTCCGCGCCCGAGCGCGAGCACCTGGCCTCCATCATCCGCCTCACGCCCACGCAGGTCAAGATCTGGTTCCAGAACCACCGGTACAAGACGAAGCGCGCCCAGCAGGAGAAGGGCATCCACGACCAGCACCAGAGCATGACGGCGCTGGCGTCGCCGCGCCGCGTCGCCGTGCCCGTGCTGGTGCGCGACGGCAAGCCCTGCGGCGGCAAGAGCCCCGGCGAGCACCTCGCGCTGCCGCCCTACGGCCACCCCCACGGCCACCACCCTCCCGGACACCACCTCGTGCTGCCGCAGTCGCGCGGCTGGGCCTGGTAGCCGCGCCCGCCGTGCTCGTCGAGGTCGCCGTCGTGGTGGCCGTCGGGCCGCGCCGGGCTGGGCAGTTCGGGCGGCGAGCGTGACTCCCCGGCAGCGCCCTGGCCGTCATATCAAGCCCTGGCAGGGCGCGGCTGGGCGGGGCGGCGCGGCGGGGCGTAGCGGCGTGCGAGGGGCCTAAGCCAGGCCGAGCCTGACACGCACCACCCCCACTCCCCCTGCTCGGCAGCCAACCCGGGCCCGGCACGGCGCGCCCACATCACCTCCCCCATCTGTGATACACTCTTGTACAGTAGGGGCCGTCGACATTTGCGACTTTTCGATTTCGACAACGGAATAGCACTCAAAAGTTGCGTTTTTTAATGCTGATTTCAGATCTGTCCTTGGTTTTGCGATCAGACAAAGCTTTGATGACCCTACCGGCCGTTTTATGCAAAAAAGCGGTGTTTTTCATGTTTCTACTGTGTTAAGGCTCCCGGACAGCCTCCACGTCGTCGGCCAAGGTAGGTGACCGTTGAGTTGTCTTCAGTAGCATAAAAGACAACACTCTGAGCCACGAGGGGTCGTGGGTCACCCCTCTAATGTGCCAAAGACTTGAAAAACTGAATTTTTTTGGTCGAAAATCACTCAATTTTTACCATTTTTTCACCGTTTATCGACTATTACGAGAGCCCACGGGCCCGAGGTCATAACTTACGCAGACCAAAAGGTGTCACTGGGTATAAGAAAGGTCACCCAGCCCCTGCCCGGGCCCGGGGAGGCGCTGGGGCAGCGAGAGAGGCGGTGTCGAATATGTTAAAAATGACCAAAATCAGCTGATCGGCCGCCTGGGACAGGCTGTGTAGGGGATGGGAGCGTGTCGCCGCGCCGGTCACGACGCTTCGCCCGCTGCCCGCCCAGCCGGCCTGCTAGCCAGCCGGCCTGCCAGCCCGTCGGCGCTGCGTAAGACTGCAAGAGGGACAGAGCGACGGGAGCTGCAGGGCGGGCAGGCTGAAAGCGTTTCCGAAGAATCCATCGCTGCCTCTGTCGCACCCCGGAGGCAGAGCGACGGAGTGCTGCTGGCGCGTGTTGAGTTTGAGTTGCCTAGGCACAGTGAGGCAAGGCGTCAGAGTCGGCGGTGACCGCTGCAAGCGTCGTGCCAGCCTGGCATGGTCGACATGAGCCCCGATGGCCTGAGCCCCGGCCGAGCCCGACTTGAGCGCCGACACGAGCACTGACTGAGCTACGATGGCCAGAGCCCCGAACCGAGCCTGGTTTGAGCTTCGACCTGAGTCCCATCTGAGCCCCACGCCGAAAAAAATTCCATTTTTGAATTGTTCTTCGAAGATTTTGGTTCAAATTGAAAATTTTAACTTTTTAGGCGCGGGGCTCAAATGAGTATCAAATGAGGCCCAGGTCGGGGCTCAAAACAGGCTCAGGTCGGGGTTTTGGACATCGCAGCTCGAGTCGGGCTCGGCCGGGGCTCAGTTCGGGGCTCTGGCCATCGTAGCTCAGTCAGTGCTCGTGTCGGCGCTGAAGTCGGGCTCGGCCGGGGCTCTGGCCGGCCGGGGCTCAGGCCATCGGGGCTCATGTCCATGTCGACCATGCCAGGCTGGCACGACGCTTGCAACGGTCACCGCCGACACTGACGCCTTGCCTCACTGTGCCTAGGCAACTCAAACTCAACACGCGCCAGCAGCACTCCGTCGCTCTGCCTCCGGGGTGCGACAGAGGCAGCGATGGATTCTTCGGAAACGCTTTCAGCCTGCCCGCCCTGCAGCTCCCGTCGCTCTGTCCCTCTTGCAGTCTTACGCAGCGCCGACGGGCTGGCAGGCCGGCTGGCTAGCAGGCCGGCTGGGCGGGCAGCGGGCGAAGCGTCGTGACCGGCGCGGCGACACGCTCCCATCCCCTACACAGCCTGTCCCAGGCGGCCGATCAGCTGATTTTGGTCATTTTTAACATATTCGACACCGCCTCTCTCGCTGCCCCAGCGCCTCCCCGGGCCCGGGCAGGGGCTGGGTGACCTTTCTTATACCCAGTGACACCTTTTGGTCTGCGTAAGTTATGACCTCGGGCCCGTGGGCTCTCGTAATAGTCGATAAACGGTGAAAAAATGGTAAAAATTGAGTGATTTTCGACCAAAAAAATTCAGTTTTTCAAGTCTTTGGCACATTAGAGGGGTGACCCACGACCCCTCGTGGCTCAGAGTGTTGTCTTTTATGCTACTGAAGACAACTCAACGGTCACCTACCTTGGCCGACGACGTGGAGGCTGTCCGGGAGCCTTAACACAGTAAAAACATGAAAAACACCGCTTTTTTGCATAAAACGGCCGGTAGGGTCATCAAAGCTTTGTCTGATCGCAAAACCGAGGACAGATCTGAAATCAGCATTAAAAAACGCAACTTTTGATTGCTATTCCGTTGTCAAAATCGAAAAGTCGCAAATGTCGACGGCCCCTATTGTACAAACGGAGCCCTGCGCTCTCGGCCGCGGTCCGCGGGGTCGGCGCCGCCCCCTTGGGGCCCCCTCGGGGCAGGGCCGGGCCCACGCGCCGGCCGCGGCAGTCCCTCTGTGTTCAGGAAAGGGATCTAGGATTAATCTAAAGTTTCCGACTTCTTTGTTTTCCATAGAGTTTTGTTGTACGTAGTCGTGTACGTTAAAAATGATAGAGATTATATTGATAAGGATTATAATACTGGTACTGTTGTTAGGGACGCCTGTTTGAGGTCGTTCGATCAGCTCCCGAATCGCGTGGTGGTTTGAGGAACTTTTTGTTTTGCTGAACCGGTTTTGGCGGTTCGGCTCTTTTTAGTGCGCGCGTCGTCGTGCCCTTTACCATGTGATTTACCAGTTTACCTGCAAAGTGATGGACAATTGATCTCTGGGTGTTAGGTCTTCTTGATGTTTTATTTGTTCCTGTCAGATGTACGGTAGTGCACCTGTGAACCCTGCATTCCTGTGGCAGTACTAATGTTCCCCTGTGTTCCTATAGAATACACGCAAAAGTAAGTTTTGCATTGTTACCAAAGAATTTGTTCATGCTGTATATTCCCCATGTATGATATTACGTATTAGGCCCTAGGCAAATTTCGTTGCAAGTCTGTTTTTCTTTTTTTTTCCCGCGAGTTGGATGAATGCAGGACTTTAATGTCTCAAACAGGGGGTTGTATTGTCAGAAGGATGATTTCCAGCTTTCGTGAAATTCATTACAATGTTTTGCGTTAAAGACTCGTCTGTAAATTGTACAAAATGTGTAGAGAAATATGTGTATGCCTATAAATATGTACAGATAACTTGAAACGGAGTGTGATATGAAATTACGTATTATTGAAAATATATATTAAGCATCTCTTTGCCCTGGTCAAACATCATAAGTAAAGTTTGTACATAGATCATAGAAATTATAATGGATTAGAGTTATCTTCAGATTATAAATGGAACGTTGTAAACAAATCAAATCCAAGTCAACTTAAACTACTATCGCTGATCCGAGGTCGAATAAAATGAATACGAAAGTTACAATAGCTACTGTTTCTTATTATTGGTCTGGACTTTCCCTTCAAAGAAAAATGTCAAGCTCCTAAAAGTTAATGATAATCAACACAAAAACAAGCTCAAAAAGAAAACTTTTACTGGAAAAAAGAAATGGCAATGATACTGGTCCTCCGCCGCGAAGCCGCGAGTTCCCATGCGCCATGTTGGCCTGGATGTCGAGCTCCTTGCCCCCCTCCAAAACGGCGCTCTCCCCTCTGTACAGGACTGCGCTCGGAACCACCGTCGGGGTGCGGCCCCGTGCGGCCCGCCGTGAGTGCGACGGAGACGGGAAGCACGCGCAGAACACGCAGGCGTTGTTCTCGAACGCGGCCCAGCCTCGCTCCTCCCCTTCATCCAGAACTAAACCCCGCGCGTCTCTCTCTCTCTCTTTCTCACTCACTGTCCTTCTCTCCATTCGCCCTGCTTCGCCCCCTCCAGTTATTGTTGGTTTTCTACGCACCTATTACGCAGCAGACTGATTCTAGTAGTCGTCAGTCGCTCTGTCTCTCTCTCATCAAAAGGGGACGCCTTTATGAGTGCGAGAGAGACAGGGCGATGAAGACGACTCTCGGAATCAGTCTTTGGACGCCGACAATGTCGACAGTCGCGTGAAAACGCGAAGCCAACGAAGCTCGACTCTCTTCATCTCATTCTGTCTCTCTCTCTCTCTCCCCGAAAGCGAAGTAGAAATAAATGTCACGCACGCCTACGAGATACATTCCCAACACTGATTTGTGTGGCAACCCTCCCTCCCCCGCCCCCTTCCCCTCACTCGAACTAATGATATGCACCGTTCTGGATGCGATTGCATGTCGATTAACAAGTAGCGCTGCGCGACAAATTCAAATCCGTTGAGGCGATAGCACGAGGCCGAGGCCTACAAGGCAGCACTGGGGCGCACACTGTGGAGGCCGTCTCAAAGCCGCATCGGCCGCGGCCGCTTCTACAGCGTGTTCTTACAGTAGTTTAAATCCACTGTCCAGAGAGGAAACAAAAAAAAAGATGACTCCTCGCGTGAGGGTTATGGAGGCCCACCGACAATAAGTAATCTGCATTTGCAGACATATTCGGAGAGTCATTTTCGTCGCTCTGTCTCTCTCGCACTCATGGGGGGATCCCGAGTAGGTGCGAGAGAGACAGAGCGACGGTTTGACGAGACGGCGGCCTTATTCAAATAGCGGTTGACGGATGGCATCATCGCTGTCGAGGAAGCCGCGGCCGCGAGAAAAATGGCCGAGTCAAGTTGAGACTAAAAATTCAGACTAATGACGCCGACACCCTTCCTGCAGGAAGAGCGATTCGGATGAGTCTTCTCGTCGACCTGTCCCCGTCGCACTCGTGGAGCCCTCCGCACAGGTGCGAGAGAGACGGAGCGACGAGTTTGCTCCGCGATTCGGCGAGCATCACGGTGTGTCGGACTCGACGTCCTGCTGCAGGGAGCGGCGGCGTCTCGGGAGCGAGGAGGCGGACGTGGAGGAAAAGAGGGAGAAAGAGAAACGGACGGAGAAAGAGAGAGGAAAACGGCGGGGAAAAGTCGGCGAGCGA